ACAAAGCGAGCCTACTGCAACTTCTTCGATTATTAAAAAATTAGGAACAACTTGTACAAGCCAAACCCTAAAGCAGGCTACAACAATAGAAGAAAGCACCATCATATTTGAGGAATCATATGCAATCAACGGTCGAGAAAACCCATCTTCGGACTGCGGGAGTTCTCAGAGTCCATTTACAGTTGGAACTCTCGGCAACTAAGGGATTGTATAAGGGTCCTTGGGTGATTTGTGGCAATTTTAGCATCACTAAGTTTCCATGTGATAGAAAACATTGTTCTAGGTTTAGTAAAGGAACGTGAGAGTTCTTCGAGTTTACTGAAGATTTGAATTTGATAGATCCTCCTTTATTTGAGGGAAAGTATACATGGTCAAGAAATAGTTTCAACTCTAGGATTTACAAATTCTTGTATTTTTCGAGCGGGGTGATCTCTTTAGTGCAATCAAACAATCCAAGATCCCATGTGCTGTCTCAGATCACTGACCACTAATCCTAGAGTGCGGGCGTTGGTCTAGAAATGCCTCTTATTTTAAGTTTGAAGATATGTGGTTGGTGTATTTTTGAGGAATTGGACAAAAATTGGTGGATATCTTTCAGTATTTTGGCCGGCCAGCTTTTATTTTTGCTAAGAAGCTTAAGCTACTGAAACTCAAGCTTAAAGAATGGACAAGTCCTGTTTTGGCCATTACTGGAAAATTTCTATCCTGAATAAGGTCATGGAACTCGATCAAACAGCTGAAGAAGCACCACTCTCGAATTATCTTTTGCTCTCAAAAAGCCAACTTACATATGGAACTTGAGGACATTTTCTAAATGGAAGAAATTTCCTAGAGACAGAAGTCTAAGTGTCTTGTGTTGAGGCAAAGGGGCAACAACACTGCTTCCTCGATAAGATGGCAAACTCCAACAGGAGATTCAATCATATAGACAAGCCGTAAGGTTGGAGGAGTCCTTTCTAAAAATGAAGATGCCATAAAAAATGAGATCCGTAGGTTTTATGGAGCTTTGTATCGGGAGAATGAGACTTGGAGACCACATTGGGAATATGCAAACGCCCCTAGCATTTCCGGCGAGGAAAAAGAGTTGCTTGAAAGACCTTTCAGGATGAGGAAATTCATGGGATTATCAAAAGTTGTGAAAGTTACAAGGCACTGGGCCCTGATGGTTTCTCAACTGGATTTTACTAAAAGTGTTAGACGATTATAAAAGTTGATTTGTTGAATGCTCTTAATCACTTTTATAACTCTGAATATTTTGATTGAAGTTTAAATTCTTCCTTTATAATACTTATTCCCAAGAAGATCGGTGCAAAGGAACTTAAAAGATTATAGACCTATCAGTTTGATAGGTAGCTTCTATAAGATCTTCTCCAAAGCATTAGCAGATAGGCCAAAAAATGCACTACCCAGTCTTGTCAGCTCCTCTCAAATGGCATTTCTCAGTGATAGAAACATTACACATGCTGCGTTGATCGCTAATGAATGCTTGGATTCCAGGATGAAGTCAAGGAAGCCGGGAATCATTTGCACGTTGGACATTGAAAATGCATTTGACCATGTAAATTGGGAATTTCTGTTGAATCTATTGAGTCGACTGGGCTTCGGTAGCAAATGGATTAATTGAATGAGATTTTATTTATCCACAATAAAATTCTCCATTCTCATTAACGATAACCCCCATGGTTTTTTTCCTCACAAAGAGGCCTCAGACAACGAGATCCTCTTTCACCTCCTCTTGTTACTCTAGTTATGAAGGGTCTTAGCAAAATGCTATATAGTGCAACTCATTCAAACTGGATTGATGATTTTCATGTAGATTGTAGATGTATAAGGAATCTCAAAATTTCTCACATTTTATATGCGGATGATACTTTGATCATGTGTAATTCAGAACAACAGAAGAACATCAGGTTATGATTTTGAGGATGATTCTATCTTCCTTTGAAGCCGTCTCGGGATTACACATAAACTTTTCAAATAGCTCTATGTTTCCTCTCAACAATGTGCCAGACATTAGCCGACTAGCCAACATTTTGTCGTAAATATTTATCCTCATCTACTTGGCCTTACCTTTTGGGATAAAATCAAATCCTTATCTATTATGAACGAGGATCTTGAGAAGATGGAGAAAAAGTTGGCAAATTGGAAGAATCAATACCTCTCTTTGGGTGTCAGAATCACTCTCATCAATAGTGTTCTTAGTGCAATTCCTACTTATATATTGTCTCCTTTTGAGGCACCATCCTCTGTCTTGAAGCGCACGGACAAATTGGGCAGAGACTTTCTTTGGAAAGGAAAAACACAATCTCACTCCTTCTCTCTTGTTAATTGGAAGACTGTTGCTGTAGATAAAGAATAGGGGATTTGAGAATGAAGAACTTGAGGAGCCATAATGAAAGCTTATTACTGAAATAGCATCGAAGATTCAACAAGGAGGACAATGCACTTTGGAGGAGAACCTTGGTTGAAAATTTCTATATTGAGAATCAATGACGCACTAAATCATCCACAACACCTCATGGCACTAGAATTTGGAAGCATATTAGAGGAGGTTGGAACAAATTTGAGGCAGATATGGGCTTCATTCGTGGAAATTGAAGGAAAATAAGGTTCTGGAAAGATGCATGGATGGGCCACACTCCTCTTAAAGATCAATACAGTATTTCTTCCTGCACAATAGGGTAATTGCTGAATTTATTCAATGCAGTGCTGGAATCTCTTTCCTTGAAGGAACTTAAAATGATTGGGAAATGGAAAGTTTATGTCTTTTGCTTTAGCTACACCATAGCTTTGGATCACAACAAAATAGATTCTGTCAAATGGGAGGGATATTCCAAAGGTCTCTTTACAGTCAAAAAGTTGATCCGCTAGAATCAAGCAACAATGGGGATTATTTGCCTTGGAAAATTTTTGGTTTAGCAAGGCTCCTTTGAAAGTCTCTTGCTTCTCTTGGATCGGGGTTGGGGAAGCTTGTCTGACTCATTGGCCACCTCTTCTTGCATTATAGAGTTACTAATCAACTGTGGAACATTCTTATTAAAAAAAAGAATCAACTGTGGAACATGTTTTTGGCAATACTTGGCATGTCTTCGACCATGCCAAAATTCATTATAGAGTTACTAATCAACTGTGGAACATTCTTATTAAAAAAAAGAATCAACTGTGGAACATGTTTTTGGCAATACTTGGCATGTCTTCGACCATGCCAAAATTCATTTTCGAGCGATTGCAATGAGTGGAAAAAAGGGACTACGCAGGAGATAACAACAGACTTGGAATACCATTCCTCAAGCCATTTGGTGGACTATTTGGCTTGAAAGAAATAGTAGAATCTTTAAAGGCAACAAGAGAAACATAGATAGCCTTGAACAGTTATGTATTTATTTGCTAGATTTTTGGTGCAACTTGCTTATTGCACATGATGAAGTTGTATTTCTAGATATGATAGAGGAACTACACTTTTTGTAATTATGTCATTGGGCACTAACTTAGAGCAAGTATTTATAAATCTTTGATTACTTATTCCAAAAAAAAAGATCATCTTCGAAACACTAGTGTATAGCTTCTTTAGGTAAAGCCCATTCTCAAACCCACAATTTCAGTTATGAACGTTTCTCTTTAGCACACAAGGCATTCTTGTGTACTATTTTCAGTTGTGCCTAGAAATTACTTTGAAGCCATGAAAGATGAAAGGTGGACGCAAGCTATACAAACAAAAAATTTAGAGACAAGTTGCACATGGATGCTATTGCCACTACCAAAAAGTAAGAAGGCAATAGCTTGTCGATGGATCTATAAGATCAAATATCGTGCAAACGGATCCATAGAGTAGTTTAAGACAAGGCGTTTAGGACATAATTAAGTAAATAAAAATGTGCTTCTTTTAACAATTTAAGCTTTACGTGAGATGGTTACCCAATTCAGAGCTAGAATCGTGTATACCTGCAAGTTGAATTGATTAGAAACAACTTGAAATTCCATTATTTTGTCGAGTCAAATGCACTATAATTCTTTTTCCCTTTTTTTTTTGGTTGGGGGGGGGGGGGGGTTGTTAATTGTTCTATCATTTTTAAGAAACATAAGTTTTTAGTTCCAGATTATAATTTAAGTTCCTTTCATTAGCCAAAAAAAAAAAAAAGAGTAAGTTTTAGCATGGTTCATTCTCTTCAGTTGTGCTATTAGGCGTAAGGCTTAAGCCTACTAAGTATTAGAAAATGGAGGGTAGAGAATAGACTATGATTTTTCTTACAGTCAAATCTTTTAACAGAGTTTGCTGGTGAGAGAGGAGACAAATTTTCCACATTTATCGATTTGGATACCAAGGGTGCCCAAGAAAGTATATGTTTTTGCATGGTTGGCAGTGAGGTGAATGATTCTGACGGCCGGTAATCCGAGCAAGAGAAATATTACTTATTTTAGTTGGTGTTATATGTGCAAATGTTCGGATGAAGAAGTTGATCATCTTTTGGTCATTGTAGGGTGGTGTCAGGTCGGTGGAGGGTGATCTTGAATCGGTGGTTTGGTATATTGTGGGTGATGCAAGGCACTGTCAAAATATGTGTTGCATAGCTGGACCGGTAGACGAAGGAGAAGAAGACAAAGGGCTTGGGAGGTTACTTTGCTAGCTCTTATGTGGGTCGTATGCAAGGAGAGAAATAGGAGAGTGTTTGAGGAGATTGAATGTGATTTTGTACATTGAAGAAATAGCCTTTGTCTTTGATTGTTTTTTGGTGCACCTATTAGATTCCTATCTATATAGATGACTGGGCGTAGTTCCATAAGAATCATGTTCTTTTGTAATTTCTCTACTTTTTGGTATACCTCTTGTATACGAGAGTCTTTCTCTCCCAATGTTAATAAAATTATTTACCTTATAAAAAGAAATGATTTTTCTTTCTCTTGTTTATGTAGTCTATAATTGTTTGCTGAATTCCAAAGGATCTGGCACATAGTATGACTATTGATATTCTTGTTGTGTCTAATGTGTCTAATTAGTGCAGGCAATTGTAGGACCTTGTAAGATTCCGAAGCCTAGAAGTTGGAGTCCAGTAGAACAAAGCAAATGGACAAGGTTTCTTTTAATGAGCTCTATCATTCGGATATTATCTAATCTTGATTTTCATCATCTACTTTATTCGAGGAAATTTTTCTTTTACCTTTTTCATTACATGATAAACATATTTGTGCTAAATTCTCTTATGTCTGCATAAAATTAGTTTAGACATACATTCCATTGCCTAATTGAGGTGGATGTAGCTTAAAAACAAGATAGCACCTAAAATAACATTGAATTTTATTTATTTCTACTCTGGTTAGTTGAAAATAAAGTTGTCTATTAGTAACTGATAGTGTCTATCTAGTAGTTTGCAGTAGTCGTTATCTTTAAGTTAGAATAGAGTGTTAATTGTTCTAAGAATACTAACTGCTTAGAGATACTTATTAAAAATTTAAAAGGAAACCGTTTAGAGCTACTTATTTATGAATAGGACTGTTGTGTATTATGTTGAGAAAGTTCAAAGTAGATACTTTTTTCCTCTTATAATTTTTTCGAAAAAACACACATGAGTCCTATTCATAAATAAGTAATTCTAGACGTTTTTCCATAAATAGTTAATTAATTCATTTGGTATTACAGGCCCCTACTTCCTCCTCCATTCTCCTTCTTTCCCCCTCTCAGCCTCTCCTCTCCCCCATTCTCTATTTCTTTTCTCTTTCTTTCTGTCCCTCTCTTCCTTGCTTTTCTTTATCTCATTTGCTCTTTCTCTTTGTTCTCTCTCAAATCTTCTTTCTTTCTTACTTCTGTTTCTTCGCATTCTCATTTCCCCCCTTTGTTCTCCCTTCTCTCATTTGTGCTGCGACATCAGAAGCTCTCCAGCAGCAGAGCTTTAAGTAGAGTCATTGCTACAGGCTAACAATTTCATTAGTTTATAATCGAAGGAGTGTTATAAAAGTTTGCAACAGCCAGGGATGGGAAGACATCAGTGTTGTCAAAGGCTCATTTAAGGCGCGCTTAAGCCCTGGAGCCCAGAGAAGCTTAGGGAGGCTGCACTTCAGTGTAAGGCAAAAAACTAAGACATGCGCCTCATTGCCCATGCGTTTTATTGTGAATCAAGCGGGAATAAACGACAAATATAATCAGAAAATAAGTGTATTAACTGTAAAGGAAAACATTATGAATGCATTTGTTATTTGTTCTTGAATTACATATATATTTTTATTTTTTACCGTCATTGCGCCTTTTCTTACTACAGCCAATACTTTTACGTGTGCTTTGCGCTTAAAGCCCAATAGACGTAAAGCGCTTTTTAGAGCTTTTCGCTTTTGACAACACCTGAAGACATGCGGTTGACTACAATCAGTTGTTTAAGGCAAATAGTGGTGCCATAGGTGAGAAGAACCTTGGTCATTGTAATAGGAAAATGTTTGCAACCTCATTCGCGTTGAACAATTGTGGGGTCATAACTAATGGCATATTATGGGGCAAATTGGCTTCTGAAACAGAAAAAAACTGATGATAAGTAATATAATTGAAATTAATTTATTGAGCTGTTTGGTGTTGAACAGGTTGCCTATATCTCAAATTTAGACGAGATAACAAGCAGGGGAAAAGATTGATTAATGGGATTATGAAATTGGAATATTAAATAATCAAGATTCATCATGATAGTCAGTCCTAGCCCAAAAGGTAATTCATTATTAAACAGGTATCCTAGAGCCACCAATAAAAAGATATAAAGAAGAAAAAGAAGAGAAGAAAAGAAAACAGGACATCCCAGTGCCACAGCCAAAAAAAATCCTACTCACAGCTGTTAATATTCCATATGCATTATCGCGGGCTGAATTTGTATTCTAAAAGGTGGTCCTATTTTTGTAGCTGGAATGGACTTGGTAACATGGCTTCCACTGAGGCAATGCGTCTCTTCATAAAAATAATAGAGGTCTGTGCAGAGCTAAGCTTATCTTGATAATTTTCGTGGAATGAATGAAAAAGTTAAACAGCTTTTATTTGTTATGGAACATGAATAGGAAGAAGATCCAGGTTGGTATTTCAGGGCCTCAAATTTTGTTTCAGAGCCTGTAATTGACGGAGATATGAATGTGAGTTTCCCTTTCCTTTGTATGATTCTTTAATTCTTTTCTCTCTTTCTCTTTCCCTAATCTGAGCTTTTATCTTTTCCTTTAACTCCCCATTTTCTCCTTTCGTTCAGCATAATCCAAAATCTGAGCCAATTATTGAGAACGGAAATGCTTTTCCCGAGACAAAAACTATTCCTACTGAAAATGGCAACTTGTCAGATGCTCGGGATAAAGATGTTGTATCAGAAAGTTTTGGTGCAGTTAGTGTATATGATCAATGGGTTTCACCTCCAGTATCTAGTCCACGACCGAGAGCTCGATATGAGGTATTTGTTTTGCATCTCTTATTTGTTGCTTTTACTCATACTCTCAACCAATCTCCATCTTCTTTCACAGCATGGAGCTGCTGTTATTGATGATAAGATGTATATATTCGGGGGCAACTACAATGGGCGTTACCTTAGCGATCTCCAGGTATGAAAACTATCTAGGCAAGCTGTCATTGATATATATATATATATATATATATATATATATATATATATATATATATATAGTTGTTGATGTCTTTTTTACTTATCACAAATCATAAGATTTTCAACTCTGATGATTCTTTACCATGCTTGTCCTTGGAAGCTGGTTAACACTAATTACTGCAGATTTTTTCATTCTTAGTCTCATTCTTTTCAACTTTTTAATGTTATTGCCTCACTAGATTTTCTTTTTCCCAATCCTAAAGAGTAGGTATTCTTCCATTGTAGTTTTTCTCCTCCTTTGGTTGCTGGACATTCAACTTTTGTGGATTGGGGGTCAATGCAGGCTTTGGACTTGAAGAGTTGGACATGGTCTAGGGTTGAAGTTAAAGCAGCTGGGGGTGAGGCTTCTCCCGTACCAGTAGCTCCTTTGGCTGGTCACTCCCTGGTTAGTATTGATATATGGTTTTTTTGTAATAATCAAATTATTGTGGTAGTTACACCAACTTCTGCCTGGTATTTACATGGGGATTCAACTCACATTAGCATTGAGGTTTCTCTTTGCTCATATTAGTTATCCTCTGTTCTCTCTCTCACTCTCTCTCTCTCTCTAGGTACCATGGGAAGGAACTAAGCTCTTATCAATTGGTGGACATATGAGAAATCCTTCTGAAAGTGTGCAAGGTTTGTTCTTGTCACTTAAATTTGATGCCAATTTTTTCTTTGTATAAGAGCAGCCTAGAGATGATTCAAGTGTAGTTACTCCAAGTCAGTACACCTGAAAATGGAAGTTTCTTTTCCCAGAAGAAAAGAAGAAAGAGATGAAATTACTCTTCTTAGCTTCATGATAATCATTAGAAGATTTGGGGTTTACTTTTGAGCCATTTGATGTACTTTTGGCTCATTAGAATGCTTTGACCAGCTTTGGGCCTATGACTACCAATATTATCCAGTCATGCATATTGCAAGGGACTGGGTAACCTCGACAGGGAATAGATAAATTAAAAAGGGACTGGGTAACATACATGCACATATGAAGATCACAAGATGCTCTGGTCTCATTTATGTTCCATGAATATCTGCAAAGTACTATTCCATGACCTAGAGAACTTCTGACCTTGTTTATTGGGCTTTAAATACAAAGAGAAAATAAAGCACGAGCTTTAACGAATAAAGACACCTACAGAGAAAATAAAGCACGAGCTTTAACGAATAAAGACACAAACAACGAACATTTTTTTTTCTCTCTCTATATATATACATATATGGTTTTGTTACCAACTTTTTCACCAAAATGCCCCTTGCCACCTAATTAAAATAGAGACTTTTAAGGGCTTTTCAGTCTTTTATTTAAATCACCAATTTCCATCTCTACATTCTCCTACACCTATCTGTCATTTCCTCCACCGTTTTGCTCTAGAGGCTCTCCCCAAAATTCTGATGTCGAGACATGTTTCTTAAAACCCCTATTATGGAATCCATGAAAATACTGTTAAGAACCTGTTTCCCTTTTTTAAAACCATCAAAAGTACAAGGTTTTCAATATAATAATCAAAATAGCAGAGGAAACCAAAGGCATTTTCGATGTCATATTCTGATCTTTTTGAATCTACATGGTGCGACATCAATATCTTATGTTCTTTTCTGTTTGAAACAGTTCATGGAATAATTTATTACTTCAAAAACAAAAAATTGAATGTAACCTGAAGATGAACACTAAGTTCGTATTGGTCAAGGTGGCATAGAGAAAAGATCCTAAAAAGAACTTTGAATTTTAGAAATTGAGAAGTATGCCTGGAGATGGAAGGTTGAGAAAATTGAAATGAAGAGAAGATTCATAGAGAGAACGAAGAGTACTTCAGGCACGAATTTTCTACGGAAAACGAGAGCCGATGGAAGATGGGAAATTTGGGAATTCAGGTAAAAGATTGAAAAGTCCTTAAAAGTTAAAAGTTTCTAATTTTAATTAGGTGGTAAGGGGCATTTTCGTGGATAAAAAGGTACAATGTTAATGTGCTACCTTCGTGTAGTAGGTAGCAAACCCACATATGGAAGGAATTCAAGAATGATAACTAAAAATTCACACCAATTAAGGAAAATATACACTTAAGAAAATAATAATTGTACGAACAAAGGAATTGAAAAAACTACAAATTATGACAAAAAGGAAGAAGGAATTCAGACAGTACAATAAAGTGAGACATTATTGTTTAGTGTCATTCTCTTCCAGAAAGAGCTCATGGGTAATGAGGCACATTTGTGTCTGCACTAATGGCTTTGCCTAAGTGAGACAAACTACCGACCTGTTTTGGTCACCTAACTTAAAGAGTATCTTCATAACAAAATGGATTCGAGTCATTACATAGAACCTTATTTACTTGATTTTTTTGTTGCTTAATGCTATGTGCCATTCGTTTGCCAGTGATGGTGTTTGATCTGCAACTGCATACTTGGTCGACCTTGAAGACATATGGAAAGACACCGGTATATTTGTTATCCCATAATGCTGTTTTACCTTTTTAGTGGCTTCAAATATTCTTGGCGTCCCTGCTTCTGATTTGATGATTTCTGGGGTTGGATGTTTACTGACTTAACTGTTGTATCCTTTCTATCTATCTGTTTTGTGTCTTATAGCCTGTTTAGCCAAACTTCTCCAAGGTCAAAAGCACTTTTTTTTTTCAAAGCGAGTTCTTTGGCCAAGCTTCTAGGAAGAAAAACAGTGCTTTTGAGTAGAAGCAGAAGTAGTTTTTGAGAAGCAGAAAAGAGCAGCTTCTCCCCAAAAGCACTTTTTTGAAAAGCGCTTTTGAGAAAAATACACTTAGAAGTAGTTTCTAAAAGCTTGGCCAAACACTAATTGCTACTCAAAAGTACTTTTTAAATTGATTAGCCAAACACAAACAACTTTTCACGAAAAGTACTTTTCTGAGCACTTTTAGAAAAAAACACTTTTCAGAATAGAGTTGATTTTAGAACCTTGGCCTAACAGGCCATTAGTCTAAACGAATGAAACAAACAAACTAATTATTCTTGTTTGATGAGTTGATTAACTTCTGCAGGTTTCCCGTGGAGGACATTCAGTAACCCTTGTAGGAACAAGCTTAGTATTATTTGGTGGACAAGATGCAGATCGATCGCTCCTGAATGATCTACACATTCTAAACTTAGAAACCATGGCCTGGGATGAAGTGGACACGCTGTAAGATGCTTCCAGAAGTCTTTAAGCACGCTATTTTCTCTTCAGATTTTCTTGCTTGTCTTTTTGAAGGACATAGAAGTCAGTTACCATCTGTCTATGAGTTTTCTCTTTTTTGGCAAAAGAAATCCTCATCTAGTTAGCTTGCATGTCTTATTGCCTGTATAAATTTTCAAAAATCTACTGATGCTAATAGTGTGAACGTTTACAAAGATTTTGCCCATGTATCTTTTTATCTTTCGTTAAAAAACCGTGATTATTTGGTATATGCCTTTACTGATGCTTATGCTTAAGCAGTTTTACTCTTATAAGTTGGTAATATCCACTTTCCTTGACCTTATTATTTTCTTAGGGGAATGCCGCCTTCTCCAAGGTCAGATCATGCTGCCACTATACATGCAGAGCGCTACCTTCTAGTTTTTGGTGGGGGCTCACACACTGCTTGCTTCAATGATCTGCATGTTCTTGACCTGCAAACTGTGAGATAATAATTTTGGTTCCAAAAGATAGAGAACTGCTCAAATTAGAATATTATTTGTTATTGGTAACTGTTATTTAATTTAACTTTTACAGATGGAGTGGTCAAGGCCTACTCAACAGGGTGAAATACCAAGTCCACGTGCCGGCCATGCTGGTGTAGCTGTTGGAGAGAATTGGTTTATTGTTGGGGGAGGCAACAACAAGAGCGGTATGCTTTATACTTTAAGAATAGCTATGGTGTTCATAATAGTTCCAACTGTTGTTTATGCTAGGATTTTTAGTGCCTTTTTCCTTCATCGAGGGTTCTTGGCAGAATCTACAATTTTAAATATATGGAATTTGAATAAGATATGATGACTATCTCGTTGTCTGAGCTGGAAGAATTTCTAGTCCATAACAGATCATGCAAGATAGTACTCCTTCTGTCTTAATGTATGTAGCAGTGTTTGACTGAGACGGGATTTAAGAAAAAAAAAGACTTTTGAAACTTGTGGTCTAAAACAAGTTAGATACTTGTGTGGCTATAGATCATTTCATTATGGGTAAAATGAGAAATTTAAGTTAAATTACTTTAAAATAAGTATGACATTCTTTCTGTGACAGACTAAAAAAGAAAGTATGATAATTAAATTGGGACAGAGGAAGTAGCTTTCAATTATTCCCTCTATTCCATTTGATCCGATACTCTTTCCTTTTGGTTGATTCCGAAAAGAATGACACATTTTTGTACGTGGAAACTCTTCAACTTTTTATTTTTACCCTTAATGACACGCTCTTATAGTCATAGCAATCTCATGTGTGTAAGACCACAAGTTCTACGGGTACTTTTGGTATGTGTCAAAAGTTTTTATTTCTTACTTAAACTTCGTGCAATACCATCATACAAAATGAAAGAGGGAGTAAATTCTTTTTTGGCTAGTGGGATTAGTTTTATACAGTCAGACATCTCTATAATAGCATCCCGATATAACAGCCATTCACTATAAAACCAAATTTTTCTCCGAACCAATTTTTTAACTTATATTTTACCTCTCTATAACAACTTTTTACCTATAACAGCAATAGCCATATTTATAGCAGAACGCTAAAAAAATATTACCCCTCTATAACAACCATATAGAATCTTTAAGATTACTAATAATTCTAAAAATATGCACACAATCTATTCCATTAAACAGGTTTCTATCTTGCATAATATGTAAGATTTGAAGATTTACACATGATATCTTTTCTATTGGGACAAATTCCAAAAAATGTTTAGATAGAAAATTTAACTGTTAAGCTCTTAGATTGTCTTCAAGGGAAAGCTATTGGATACCTTTTTGCTGAAAATTTGGACACGAACCTTCGCCAATTCAAGGTTATATTAGTAAGAGAATGAAATCTACGAAACAAGCTACATTTACAAAGTTCTTCCATCAATCTTGAAAGAATTTATTTTTCTAAGTAGCTTTAAAATGTTTGCCTTAGTGTTTAAATATGTATAGGTTTAGTTATGAATTTATTAATAATGTATTTGCTTTCTTCAATATTTAACTAGTGAAATATGCATATCTTTTGAGATTTAAATTTGAAAAATTTTCTTATCTTTTATATGTAACATTAAAAAAGGAAAAATAATTGATTTTTGAATAATTTTAATTATAACAACCAAAAAATTATTTAAATGTCTAATGCGTATAGTATCCGTTCACTATAAAAGCCAAAAAATATCGTAACAAACGAGGCTGTTATAGAGAGGGTTGACGGTATCATCTTGTTACTTCCTAGAATCTTGGAGTCGATGTTTTTGGTGCATGAAAAGTGTCCCTGTGTGCCCCTGAATTATTGGGAAAGGCCTTTTGGTAGTTCGAATGGTTGGTTAACTTTTCATGGTAAAATAGTGTTTATTTATCTCTCAACTTGTTATCCACATCTTTCCCCAAAAAGGAAAAGTTATGTACAACCTCTTTTGAGTAGTTCTCAAGTTAGAAAATGTCCTGTAGAAGATATGTTAGAGATCTACAACATTTTACATATTGGTTGTGGGTTTACGATGATACATTGCTGTGTTGTAAGCTCGTGTTCTTTCACATTTTGAATTGTGTGAATTGCCTCAATTGTTGATGGGTTTAATGAGACTTGACCCAGGAACTCTGATACTATATTCAATGGTGTGAACCACTTCACCTAAAAACTTGTGAGGGTTATAGGGATGAGTCTTACCTCCACTAGTCCGACAAGATATTTATAGGTATTTGATCCAAGAAAGAGAGAGTCAGCCCTTGTGTAAGGACGTCTTGCAAACCTATAATAGATAAATATATAAATAAATAAATGTGTCATTTTTCTAAGTGTTTAAGCTTGGGTTAATCTTTCAGATAAGGCAGCTTACATCATTTAATATGTCATATCAGCCAAATCTCGGTCATCTGTGCTCATTGTTAATTTGGTGCTTACAACTGTTTATCTCTATTTCTGGTTCAATTGTATATTGTCTTCGCTTATTCCTATCTCTCCGGGCTTCACTATCTTAACTCAACTCATCAAGCCTAACTTTTTCTAGGTTCGTATCTCAGCATTCTGAGTCCATTTTCTTTGTTCCAGCCCACACTTTAGCTTGTTGAGCTTACCTGTCCACTCTTGAGTTTGTTGTGCTTACTCTCTCTACTCTAGCCGACTCTATAGCATACTAAGCCTTTTAAAAAGCCAAAGCAGAGCAAAAAACAATCAACTAGTATATAAACCCTAGAACTGAGTTACATGTGCGAGATGATTTTGACATGATAGCTTCCCATATCAGCTTTGTAAGGGTTTTCCAAATTGATTTGCAAATGTCTCTTTTAATTCTATCCGTTGCCTTAAGGTTTTGAGTTGCATGTACAAATTCTTGATGTGTGAACTAGAGCATTTTAATACCACGAGAGTTAACAGGTTAGGAACTTGTGGGTTTGTCTCTTGGTTTTTGCATAAGCAGGTTGTGCTTAGCATGATTGTTTTCTGTGATGCATCATCTGAATAGCCGGTGCAGATGAATGAGTGAAAGTACAGAAGAAATATGGGGTCAACTGTTTCTAATCTACTACAGAACTAGAGCATTGTAATACTATGAGGGGTCGTTTGGCAGGATGTATTAGGGAATATAATCATGTATATTGAGTACTATTCTTATACATAGCAATCCATGGCATTAGCAATACCATGGTTTTTGGTACGTGGATAAGCATGTATAAAGATATAACTGCCCTTTCAAAACCTTTTTCACATACAAAGCTAAAGAATGTGGAGGGTATTTTTTGTATACGAACAACTTTTTAATAAAATTATGCAATGTATGTTTTAACACCAAACCAAACAGTCGATAAGAAATAATCCCTGCATAATTAATCCTAGTATAACTAATCCTAGCATTACTAATCTCAGCATTACTAATACACCCTATTCAGTACTATTCATATACACCCTACCAAATGACCCCTGAGAGTTAATCAGGTTCAAGGGACTTGTGGGTTGTCTCTTGGTTTATGCATAAGCTTGTTGTGCTTGGCATGATTGGTTTTCTATGAAGAATCATCTGAATAGCCGGTGCAAAAGTACAGTAGAAATCTGCGGTAACTCTGTTTCTAATCTAGGGGGGAGCGCACTGCAGATTATAATTTTTGTAGAAAGTGAAAGCAGTAATCCGGAGTTGGACAAAAAATTATGATATCTGTGGATCACTTATATTTGCTTCAATATGATTTTAGTTGTGGACCATTGCCATCGTTCTTGTGTTTATGCTTTTTTAGTTTTTTTTTTTTTAATTGTTTCAGTCTCTCTTACAACTTTATGCTGTTCTTATTATCTTACAATTGTTGCAGGGGTCTCTGAAACTGTTGTGCTCAACATGTCTACTTTGGCTTGGTCAGTTGTAACAACTGTTCAAGGACATGTTCCTCTTGCCACTGAGGTATTCCTGTTCCGGGCGGCATCTTCTTTTTTCAAGCAACCTACCAGTTTTTGTTTCCTTTTTTTCCCCTTCAAGTATCTGGACTGGATACAAAGCTTTTGCTTGTTCTGTTTTCCTCTAAAAGATAATTTTTAGTTGGATGACTCAAATTTGAGCTGTCTGAACTAATGCCACATGCTGCTTCTGTTGTTTCCATATCCCATTATTCTGGCCGTCCAATGTGGTCCTACGATTGAATTCCTGAGGTGTGCTCGACACTCTACAGAATCTGTGATATGTCATCAATGTGCATAATACAGCAAACGAAAATGAAGAACATCCATCAGTACCCTTGAGCTATTCAAGTTCTTATCACGCTCATCCCTGATTAAACTTCTGTGGAAATAACTTGACAAATTCTAGTTTGTCCGTGCGGTCGCAATATCTTTAGTTACCACTAAATTGTGATGCAGACAGATATGAATATGTTACCATCTCAGGTTAAGCCTAAGTTAGAGATGATTTGAATTTTGATACTGCAATTGTTTTAGTTGTCAAAAGTTTTGACTTATCAGTGTTTTGGATAGCGCGGTGCGGCGACAAATAGCGACGAGGGCCTGCTTCACTGAGGCGAGAGGATACAAATCTGCTTCTTACATGCTCAAATACGCTCCAATTTTTCTCGCATCTAGATGCACTACAAGTTAGGCTTAGAACTTTGATGGCAAACTTTTGCAAGTTTGGAGTTTGATGTCCAAATTGCATCCACCATTCAACTATAGCAAAATATTTATAAGTTAATAAGTATAAAACAAATGAATTAAATTAAAGCTATAAGGATATCTATATTAAACTTAGTTACCTGGCGACCTTATGTCTCTGGCTCTAATGGCCGCTTGTAAACCAAATAGTCATCTGCTTGTGAGTACCTACCAAACTCCTCCCCTATTTGATCTACCATCGCTGAATCGGGGACCAACTTCTCAAGACATTGATGGTATCCAACCCACACCTCTGAATCCAAAGTGTCATCTCTAGTATTCTTGTAAATAATCACGGGTTCAGAATATGGCTTGCTGCATGCAAAGGTCGATGGAGTTGATTCGACCACCTGCTATCAATAATCTCAAAAACTTTCTCATATTTCCTAACATCTCCCTCAAATGACGCTTCAATAGTCTTTTTGGATCTACCCGTAGCTTCATAAAGATAGTCCATTGGTGGTTTTCTCTCCCCATCCACCATATGAAGCACCCTAATCAAAGGACCACCAACTTTAAGAGCCCGAACGACGTCATTCTAGAATGATGGAGAAATAAGAACTTTGGTAGTTTTTCTCCCCGCAGCTTCCTTTGCATATCTATTATCTTTCCATTCATTTGAAGAACTAGCTTTCTCAACTTTTTCTTTTGCAAGTAAAAGTAAAAACTATGCAAAGTCAAAAAAGCCGTTGCAAATCTAGTCTTGGCCGGTCTCACCAAATTTATTTTATTTGTGAATTTCCTCATCAAATTCAACAACGACGGCCTCTGACTGATGTAAGAATATATCTTGACGGCCTTAGTGGAAACTGTAAAAGTAACAATAACAATTTTATAGTTAGTACTTAATAGGACATAAGTATAAATTAAGTTAAAGCTTTGAAGATAACTATATTAAAGTTACCTGAAGCATATGGGTTTTCCTTGAATATGTCACCAAACATCAAATTGATACAATGGGCAGTACATGGAGTCCAATAAATGTGTGGATACATAGCTTCCATCATCTTACCCGCACTAACATTCTCACTAGCATTATCGGTAACAACTTGTACAACATTTTCCTTTCCAATTTTATCAATAGTCTTTCTAAACAAGCTGTACATTTTGCTTCCATCGGTAGAAGAGTTGCTAGCATCGTTTGATTCAAGAAAAACATTCCCTCTTGGAGAGTTCACCAACACATTTATGATCATTTTTTCATTCCGTGCTGTCTATGCATCGTAATGGAACATCCAAACTTGTTCCATTCCAATCTATGCTCCTCAATAATTTTGTCTATCTTCTTCACCTGTTTTCTAAGATGAGTTACTCTAACTTCATGATAGCTAGGAGGCTTCATTCCTGGGCCATATTGTCCTACGGCCTCAATGAATTTATCAAAAGTTTTGTAGTTAACACAATTGAAAGGAAGCTCTGCATCGTACATCCATGCTGCAAAGGCACTTACGGAGCGATCCCTCAAAATCTTCTTGGCTTCTAAACCTGAACCAGAATAATCTTTTCCCTTTTCTTGTTGTTTTACCGAGAAATAAAGATTGAGAGGACCTTTTGTCACAGTACGCGCCGTGGATGACCCACTAGAACTATTTGAAGATATCTTTTGAGTTTGGTTTTTTCATCATCTTCATCAAATTAGATTCACCGATGCTTCATAATTCATTTGAGTTCTTGTCACATTTTTCTTCTCAACAAATGCTTTTGCTTCCTCCCTAACCTCGGGCGGACAAAGAGGACATTGTACTACATTTTTAAATCCACCTATCAAATGTTGCGTGTGACGAATTATTCCACCATGATATGTTTTTCACAAAACACACATTTAATTGCGGATCTTGATGAGCCTTGTATAGCATAATTCCAAGCTATATCATTTCTTTTATTACTATTGGATGGCGCCATTTCAATGCTGTTCTGTAGAAAAAAAATTATCAAGTCAATATCACAATATGCAATTAATTCTACTCTATAACTGAAAAAGGAGGAAATTTCAGGTTTGAAGTTTTGAAGTTCTCTGCCTCTGCCTCTGCCCAAGCCCAACAGTGAAAGAATTGAAAAACCAGAGCAAAAACAATAGCAAAAACAGTGTGTAGTACTGCTGCTCAATCAAAAACAGAGCAATAAAAGAAAAATAAAGAAGAGAAGATCAGAAGAAGAAGAAAAATGAAAAAAAAAAAGAGCATACACAGACTCTGTTCTGTTTTTTGCTGCACTGTTGCTCGACAAAAAACAGAGCAAAAAATATAGAAAGAAGAAGAGAAGATCAGAAGAACAAGAAAAACGAAAAAAAAAAACAGAGCAACTGCCTCTCTGTTCTGCACTGTTGCTCGACAAAAAATAGAGCAAAAAAATAGAAAGAAGAAGAGAAGAAGGAAAAGGAAGAAAGAAAGAAAGAAAGAAAGAAAGAAAGAAAGAAAGGAGAAAGGTGAAAGGAGAAAGGAAATCGAAGAAGAAGAGAAGCATACCTGGGATGGGTCGACTTGGATGAAGAAGAGGATGGCAGAAACTTGAAGCTTTCAGGTCGAAATTGTCTACTATGGCTGCTCTGTTGTTTGAAGGTTGAAGAAGAAAGAAAGTGAAATCGCTGCAAGCCCTAATGTTTTAAGTCGCTGGTCTTTGTGCCTTTTTCTTTCTTTTTTTTAAAAAAGTGACGCCACAGCTCGCCTCTCGCTACACAGGCAGAGGCGCTCGCCTTTTACAATCGCAACGCAACAGAGCCAAAAAAGCGCAGGTTGCTCGCGTCTCCTCGCCTCACGCTATTAGCGCTGAGGGGAGCGCTATTTATAACACTGTGACTTATTGTTCCTCATTTAAAATGTAAACAACAATGAAATGATGTTGAAAATTTTGGGAACTCTTCATTTTCTACTGTGCCACGACTATTGTATTGTTCCTTATTGCCCGGGCCACTGATCATCTGGGACCTAAATGTGTTTGATGAACCTGTGTTTGCATGAAATTATTTTTCAAATAGATAATAGTACGTCGGGTTCTTAAGTATTCTTAGAGATTGCTATTTTGCGTTCTTCTTTCTCCGAATATCAAATTATGCTTAAGAGATTGCTATTTTATCTTTTTCTCTAAATATCAAAGTGTTTTAGCTTCTAACTTAAGACAATTTCTTGTCCTACAGGGCTTGAGCTTGGTCTTATGTTCATATAATGGTGAAGATATTGTAGTTTCTTTTGGAGGATACAATGGGCGATATAATAATGAGGTAATTCCAGCACAGCTAAATCATATTTATTCTCTTTGCTAGTTTGGTCAGCCCTTCCACTGGGGCAAGTGAATTGTTGGTTGGTTTCTTTATCCTTGCTATGCTTCTCCTAATTAAATTTCTCTATGGTGTCTTTCATCACTGTTTTAAGGTCAGCGTACTAAAACCAAGCCACAAGTCAACCTTGCAATCCAAAGTGATTGAGACTCCTGCAGATAGTGTTTCAGCAGTGCATAATGCGACTAATGCCACAAGAGATATGGAATCAGAGTATGGAATGGGCCAAGACGGCAAAATAACGGAAATTGTGATGGACAACATTGAGTCCGAGCCAACGGTATTCAGATGCTTTAAAATTCATTATCTTGCATTTATGATTGGTGATATGATGTGAATTTTGCTAGTTTTTCTTGTACACTGAGATCTCAGTTTAATTGTGCTATCAGCTTTCTTTAAGATAACTAGTATGTTAATCTATCTACTCGGAAAAAAAACAAAACAAATAGGTACATCTATAAAGCTGCATTTGAAGTTCACGTTTTGTTCTCTTCTCTGTGAGAATATGCCTCAACCAACTAGGTATGTCTTGTTTCTAAAATTCCTTGTATATTTCGAGTAGTTGATAATAGACTAAGAAAGAGATAAAAAGCTCGTGAGAATAAAAATGTTGTTCAAACAAGACAACAAAGGATCTTTGAATTCATTGAAATTGATGATTGCTTGTTACGAAACACCACCTATGTATAGGTGTAACGTATCTTGTATAAAAACTAAAAATAGTGAAAGCAATAAATGATTGTGTGTTACAGATTTATTATTATGGCTCCTCCTTAACTATTGTGAGGTGCATTTATTGGGTGGATTGAATCCACATCATTAATTGCACATGGTGAGTTTGATTTATTAATTCCTTGTTCATATATCTTTACATCCAACAAGAGTATTCATGGATGTTCATACTGGCGGAGTCATTTAAGTGCAGATTAAACATAGTCAATCCCAATGAAAAGAATTTAGTCTTTTTTATATAATTAACTTTAATTTATAGTCCTTGAAAGATTAAACATATTCAATTTTAACCACTTTAAACTGATTAGAATACTGTGAGTACAACTTTAGCGCACACATTTCAGATGGCACATACATGGCATAGAGACAAGGATGAGTCCCTGAGTCTGTCACACGGAACAAGCATCAAACTTAGTTTGTAATTATACCTGTGTAGGTATATGTGTTAATATCACCTAAGCAAATTTAAACCAAATAACAAACATGCTTGAAGGTTTGGCATTTCATATACTATATTCAATTAGCAATTACATTTGCGGGCCATATTAGTGCTTCTGTAAAACATGTCTGGTCCTCCTATTGTAATTTTTCCTATTTTCTCACTTTTTGTTGATGTTGAAAATTTCAAATATCTTTTCTTGCATCCCAAAAGGAAAAAAAAAAATAAAACGTTAGAATCCAGTAGTTTGAAATATGTCCCTTTCCGGACGTGTGTAACTCACCATCCAAGCCTTGGTGGACAGAGTTAACTGGTACCGGTTGCTGGTGGGAGGTAGCAGGTATCCCGTATAATTAGTCGAGGTGCGCGCTAGCTGGCCCATACACCAACCACGGTTATCAAAAAAAAAAAATCCTTCTTTGTGTAACTCAACCCTCCAGTTATAGATTTTAAGTGAAACAGAGGATCTATGATGTAAGAATATGCCATTTTCTTCTTGGCCTTCCTTCAATCTTCCAACTTGTCCTAGCTTTCCAGAAATGATTAGGGGTACTTCCCTCTTCTTTTCTCTCTAGCTCTTCAATCACGCTAACGTCTTATACCATCAGAGGCAGTTCTAAAATTCAAATTTGGCTAAATGTCTGCTAATAGACCTAAATGTCTAAAGTTTGAGTTGAGTAGAGCAATTGGTTTCTGCTAGAGAAGTTTTATTTTGTGCCTCCACACAACTGACACTAGCTGTGTGAGGCCTCTTTTTATCTCAAAGATTCGTGGACCCATATCTTACACTTTTGGGTCCACAAAATTGTGAGACAAAAAAGAGGCCTCACACAACTAGTGTCAGTTGTGTGAGGCACAAAATAAAATATTTCGTTTCTGATATCTCAAATAGCAGGTCACTGTCACTAAATGTATATACTACTACTTGAGTAACACAAAATGTAGATGTGTGGCGTTAACTGAGGTATTTGTAAGAATGCAAGATTTGTTGTTCATTAAATGTAAAAGCCAGGTAAGCCAGAACGCCAGTGCAAAACTTTGATCGCTGTTGTCTCCACAAGCTTCAGCCTGCTTTCGTATTGCTTTATGCTGTTGAAGGGTTGAATAATTTGCCGTCACTTGAACATGATTTAAACTGACAAACCACAATATTGTCATATTTCTATGCGAGTTCTTTTTTGCAGTGCCGTGAGTCATGACTTGTTCTCTTTCACCGTACTTCTTCTGGTATCCTTCTGTTTGTCTTTTTCCTTGTCGTTCCCTTGGGACATCATCTCATGGCTTCATCATGCAGGTGAATAAAGTTGAAGAAACTAGTGAATGTCTTTTAGCAGCTCTCAAAGCTGAGAAGGAAGAATTAGAGTCATCTCTCAGCAAAGAGAAGTTGCAAACACTCCAGCTGAAGCAAGACTTGACAGATGCCGAGGCTCACAACAGTGACCTTTACAAGGTAACTCTTAAATTGATAGGCATACTATAAGTGAAAGCAAAGTGCTTTTTTCCCCTTCCCATTTTGCTTCTTTTTAAAATTTGAGTTTAACTGTAGCCTATGTTCTGTGTTTCATTGTTTTGTTTAAACTACTGGTCTGTTTTATCTTCCATCTCCAGTAAATAGCTAAAATGCTTTTGGTATCTTTCGGATTTGATAATGCTTTGTGGTTAAGTGGCCACTTTGTCATTTGTTGCTCCCTTTGGATGCTGTTAATGTTATTATTCTCTTCAAAGAGATTTTATTGTTTGGATACTTTGATGTTCAAATGCTCTCTGCTGGCATACTATCATATTCCATATGGGTCTTTCCTATTCTTTACTGCACTCATTTATCTACATAAACTAATTTTCAATTTTATTTTGAAACAAGATCTGAGCTACTTTTCCAGCATTTTTGGTCTTGGTGCTCATGCTCACCTAAGTGCAAGTTTAGATAACGTGAAAATATGTAGTAAGAGAAAAAGAAATATCTTTTGGAATTTTGCACATATGTATTTGAGATCTTTAAGTAATTTCCAAAAGATAAGGCTGTCACCAGGCAAGATCCAGGTCTCTGACAGCTGTGCGTCACATCTAACTTTGTATTTCTCTATTGCATATGCAGGAACTCCAAGCTGTACGAGGTCAACTTGCCGCTGAACAGTCTAGTTGTTTCAAACTTGAGGTATGACACTATTTTTTGCTTCTTTTTTTTCCTTTTCTTTCCTTTGACAACCATTTTCTGGTTGGAGGAGTTGGTGGAAAGGGGAAATGCTTTGAACCTGCAACCAATTAGGATTGAGGATGGTACCTGCCACTTGTGGTTAACATTTTGACTTTAATGATTCACATGCTTTTATTGGTAACATCATGGTGGTTTTAGTTTCAGTTCTAGACTTCACCCCGTCTCTCATTTCTATTTAAACCCAGCTTCTTTCGTTGATTAAACATGTATGTGTGTTTTCTCAACCAAAACAAAAAAGGATTAATCATGCATGTGTTAGTTATTTTTTTGGACTGTTTCCCAGCCCATCAAATAACAGCAGATTTTATCAGAATGACCAGGTATTTTGGTTTATGTTGTCATTATGTCCGTCAGCATATTTGCACATTTAGTTTCTGTTTGTGGTTCATTATTTGCATGACATGTTGGCAAAAATGAGTGACGATGAGAGACATGTAATAGCACTCTCTACAATATATTGGGCAGATCAGGAGCTGAGACACGGCAGAAGTTGCGGGTTCCAATATACCCTTCTTACTTATCTCTGCCACATATGCACTTGCAAACATACACATACAAATAACTTTTAAAAGTTGAACTCAGACAGTACTCACTATTATCAAACAATAGCTACAATGCACTGAGAAGAGCAAAGTTTTCAAGGCAGAGGCCTGATTTATCTTAATTTACTGAAGTGGAGGTAGTACATTAATTATAACCTCGTTTGACAGGTTGATGTTGCGGAGCTAAGACAAAAGCTACAAGGAATGGAAACATTACAAAAAGAACTTGAGCTCCTGAGACGACAAAAGGCTGCTTCTGAGCAAGCCTTGAGCGCAAAACAAAGGCAGAGGTCTGGTGGAGTGTGGGGATGGCTTGCTCCTCCTCCTCCTAGTCAGCGAGATGATGCATGATAGAAAACTTCGATGCATAGCACACACCGATGTTTATCAGTTATTTTTTTAATCAAATATTTGTTATTATAAGTTGTTCTTACTGTTAGGTGGAGCGGGATATAGTGTGTGATGGCTGGTGGGGTTTTTGTTGTATAATTACCAAGAACAGTTAGTGCCGGATAATTTTCTATTGAGAGTTTCGACAGAACCTCCACTTCCAGAAGATAGAAGTTTTGGATGCGAAAGTATAGGAAGTTTTTTTTACTGGTGGTTGGAATACCGTTTGGCTGTAATGCTTAACCTCTTTAATGTAATTGACATTGTGGTGTGACAATATTTCAACATTGTACAAGCCGAGTCAAGGCAGAATAGGATACACGTAAACTTTCTTTCTCTTTGGATATTTTCTTATTTTAATGTTATAATTTTTGAGCGCTCAAGCGTTTATAATTAAAGGTTACAATTTACGAAGTAACACTCTATTTAGATCATTGGTTTCCATCGTTTTATATTTTATTGTAATGTTGTACCGTATTGTATCGCTTTATGGATATTATGTTTGAATAGATTGTATCGTTTATGTTGTTAAATATTTGTTGTTCGGTGTGATTGTATTGTACTGTACTATAACGGATAAATTTACTAAAATACTCCCAATTATTTTTTTAAATATTTAAGTTATCAAGAATTACGCATAAAAATAATTCAACAAAACCTCTCTAATAATTTACCATCAATTATGTAGCTTGAAAACAATAGCAAAAATCTCCGGAAAAAGGTTAACTATCATTAGCCAAAAAAAAAAAAAGGAAGAAGGAAAAATGACACTGTATAGTCGCTCTCAAAGTAATAGCCGAAAAATATATATTTTTGTATATATGTGCATACTGTATGTTATATACAAAAATTATACAAATTTACAAACTTTTTCGACTACCGAATGTAAATACTTTCGGGCGATGCTAAAAGTGGAAAAGCCCAAAAAATAAAATAATAATCATAGAACGATGGAAAGAGACAAAAAACGAACATAGATTTGTATGAAAAGCATGGCACAAACCAGTTCTGGATAAGATGAACGAAGACAAAGTAGGTCAATTGGTTGGAGATTTTGAGTTAAAAAGTAAAATAAAGGATAATGTAAAATTCTGGAATAATAAGTAAAGGCATAATTAAAAAAAATATAGGAAACAATGCCACCACATCAAATTGGTTGTTTCATAAAATTGGACTTTTCACTTTTTCGGAAAATGAATTTAACAATATAATACGATCGATTTTAAATAAACAATCATGACAAACATTGAAGAGGAACCTTGGCGTAACTGGTAAAGTTGCTGCCATGTGACCAGGAGGCCACTGTTTCGCTCCGCGGAAACAACTTGAGGAGCAGAGAAGAGTAAGTTCAGACTAATCAGAATAAATAAGTACTCCCTCCGTTTCAATTTAGATGAGGTATTTGACTCGAAACGGTGTTTTGAGAAAAAAAAAACTTTTGAAACTTGTGGTCTTAAAAGCTTAAGGGGGCAAAAGTTTTGTGGGGCTTTGACATTTGTGTAGTTATAAAAGCTTCTCATTAAGGTTAAATAGACAAAATGAAGAGTTTAAAGTTGAATTATCTCCAATTAGAAAATAGAAATGTGTCATCTTTTTTTGAACGGACGAATAAGGAAAGTGTGTGATCTAAATTAAAACTGAAGGAGTAATTTTTAGAAAATCTCACTTTATACCTATTTATTCCAAACTATTTACCCTTTAATGCCCATGCCTAAACTATTTACTACTCCTACCCATGCGGCCCAAACTATTTATCCGCTAATTCACAATAGAAAGAGAGACGATCAACACTTGATTCATTGCCGGTCTTAAGCAAAGTCGTTATGGCAAGAGTTGCTATGCTCCTATTCTGATCAGAAATCAAGCTCTCCATATCTATGTTGCAGTTTGTCACAGCCATAGGATGTGTCATATCTATCCTTCGACACATATACAGGGCGTGAGTTTGTTTGAAGTTTTAGCACTGCAAACAAGTTTTCAACACTAAAATACATGGCACAATTCAAAAACTAGATCATAGGAAGAACAGATCAATTTTTGAAACTCCATATGAATGAGTTCAAAATGCCAGATCTAATTTTTTATAGTGTTTTACTGTTGAAATTCGTTAGTTATTGTTCTTTGATGTGTATATTGTACCTTTGATGCTGGTTTTTGGAGATTTATTGTACAAAAATTTAAATCCACCATTGAAGGACCTTGAAGCTTGAAACTCATAACTTGGTTTGTTTGAGTTTTTAATTGTTTTGATCCGATCTTGTATGGGTTTGTTTGGAAAGTTGATTGGAGGTTGTAGCTAAAGTTTTAGTCAACTTGGTGGAGATTTTGTCGTAGATTTTAGAAATTTGGGTTGAAATATGGTTGAACCAGAGAAGAAGGTGAATTTGTATTGTATACCCGAATAGTATACAAATATACCATGTTAGTATACAATTCATTCCAACTATATACCCTATTAGTATAGCTATATACTATATTGGTATCATATGCTAGTTGAATTATTTTTTGGTTGTATTAGCTGCATTTAATTGGTACAATATTTGATTTTCTTTTAATAATAGAAATATAGTACAATATCTTGAAATACCTTATTATATTAATATGTGGTACACTATTTTTTTTATTTTTCTCTTTATGCATGTGTGTTATGTAATAGCAGTATAGTCATATAGTTGCCGGGAATTAACTAGTAAAACTGTATACCATGTTGGTATAGTTATATGCCATATTGGTAATATGGTAGTTTGAACATTATTTTGGTTGTTTTAGCTGCATTTTAAGTGAATTCTATTATAAAATTATTTATATGAACATGAGTTGCAATACTGGAATTTTTGTGTGCCGATGGACATAAATTATGTGTATTATGTAATAGTTTTTATAGTTATAGGCAATTGTTGGAACGACCCATACAACTACATACCCTCTTAGTATACGAAATGAGCAAGTTGTTTTGCGAATATTTAGCTTGCAATACGAGCATGTAATTTTCTCATACTTTTATTGCGTCCTTTAATGTTTTGGTACAGTAGTATAGTCGCAGATAGTTGTAGCAATATTCTAGAGAAATCATATGCTCTATTGGTATACATATACACCGTATTGGTATCACATGGTACTAGAAGTCTTTTTTGCTACTTATACTTTTGTTGCATTTTTTAATATTTTATTATCATTTTTACTCTAACTAGTATATATGGAGATTTGGTTGCCGTAGATTATGTTTTCTTGCTATATAACTGGTTATATTACTGCTAATGGTAGAGTGTGTACTGATATTTATAGGGAAGGAGATCAAGGTTTGCATGGCAATCACTTGTTGATTCTTAGAATCTGATTATGTGATTTATGGTGCTCAGCAGCAGTCAATGTGATATTCAGTGAATTAGATCAAGTGACAACTGATAGTATTTCAGTTTAATAATTGAATTTAAAAAATGAGAAAGAAAATTAAAAAAAAGGTATATTGTACTAGTTATATTAAAAAAAAGGTGAACAAATATTTACTATCAATTATTTTTTCTTATTGTATAAAAAAGAATAATAAAAAATAATAAAAACGGTAACTGAAATTAGATTATGAAGAGAAAAAGAATATAAAAAAAAGAAGTTAAATGAAATTAGAAAAGGAAAAAAAGCAACAAAATAAGAAGAAAACGAGAAAAAGGAAAAGGAGAAAAGAAAAAAAAAAAGAAAAAGAAGAAGCATAGAAATAAAAAAGAATTGGAGAATAAAAAAAAATCCCCCACAAAAACTACTATGGGTAGGAAATGTAATTAGTTTATGAGTAGAAAAATAATTAGATAGACAAGGGTAAATAGTTTTGTTTTTGTGGGTAACTGTGTCAATCTCCCTAATTTTTAAATAAATGGAGACATTTACTGAGAACGCTAAGAAAGAAATATGTAGAATAGACGGGTTTCATTCCATCAAGTAAATATAAACATAATTTATAATCAAACTATTACTATAATCTAAAATAAAAATATTAACATAATTCTGAAGTTTTCATCAGTATAACTTAAATCCAGTATCTGAAATAGAGAAAATAATAATGCCTTATATAATTTTTTTATAAATGAAAATAAATATATTTCTAGGAGTAGCTATTGATGATAATTTATGTTACATCTGTGGGCAGTTAAAATTTTATTAGATTTCAATCCATAAGAAATTTGGATTTAATCTTAAATTAAATATATTTTGGTCCGAATAAATGTTTTGGGCTAATATAATTGGATCAATTAAATAAATTCAATATATATGGATTAAATAAATAAGTCTTAATCCATTGGGCTAGCCCATTTAATTGAGCTAACATGATGAGCCCACTTCATTGAGTCCAAGATGCCATCTTCTAGAGGCCCAATTTGGTGCCACGTGTCAAATGACGTGGCACGCCAGGTCAAACGGAAGAGCCAATAGGATCATGCCACGTGTCAAAATGACGAGGCATGCCAAGACAAATTAAAAAGCCAGTGAAACCGCTCCATATGTGCAAGTGACATGTTCTGGCCAATCAGTGCGGCCTTGTCACACTTCAATTTGATTGGTCGGAAAGAGTTTGTTCTTATCATAACTCTTCTCTCCCACAACTATAAATAGGGGTCTTCATAACCCAGAAAACACACCAGAAGTTATAACAAGAAGCAAGAGAAATCTTGTTGATCAAACACCGCAAATATCTCTACAAGTTCAAGAAATTAAGTTCAAGCTAAAGAACGAAGAACAAATCAAGTTCAAGGAGTACGAGTTCAAATCAAAGTACGTGCTAGTTGAATCCAAGATCATCGTCCGTGGCAACAAATATAGATTCAAGATCAAGCTCAAGGGCCCTTGAATTTATTTACTATTGAAAAGAAGAATCAGAGGATTCATAGAGATTGTAGACTCAATTTTTTAAAATCAAATACTACGATTGTTGCCATATTTTTCGGTCTTGATTATTTTCTTGACACAATTTATTGTTTATAAATTCTGGCACACACAGTGGGACAATCACTACCTCTCATCTCAACTTTTCAATCACCAAAGTCCAAGAACGTCAAAATGGCTTCAAAGAAAATCAACTCCAGATCAACATCCACCAAGGCTGCTAACTCCAGGTTCTATGCTGATGTGGAAAGCATCCTCGATGTTACCTTTGGAAGCTTTGGACCAGTTACGAGGAGCAAAGCAAGCTCTTTTGGACAACAAGCACTCCAAGTGTTGTCCGCATCAACTCCTGTTTTCGGATCTTCATCCTCAAAAGGAGCAAGATCTTCCACAAATGCACCGAAGGAGTAAGCGATGTTGCTGAAAAGATCAAGAAAACTCTTGCTCTGCTTGACCTCTCCGGATCCAAGAACTCTGCTGTGAATGAAGATGATGATGCTTCAAGTGATGGATCCTCCCCACTTACACCGCATAGCATG